TTAAATTTAATCTCCGTGTCATGTAAAATAATAAATATCGCGTGATTGAATTATTTGTTTGCCCGATCGTTTCTTTAATCGAACGAGAAACGGCGAGCGATAAATTTTACGTTCAAGAGTTATAATATTTTACGAACAGAGTACATTCCGGATAAAAGCATAAATGATATTTCATTTCTGCTGCTACGTTTCAGACTTATTGCCAGTCGAGGTAATATTATTGATTCTGCTATATCAGTGTATAACTGTAACTTATCTTGACATCTGAATTTTCCAACATTAATTTGAAGAATGTTCTTACAAATTGTAAACGCTTACTATGCATTTTTTTTTGCCACAATATCCGAGGGAGTGAGTAGAGTACCGATTATTTTTCTCGGCGGGAAGTCACTTTTTACTTAGTGTCGTAAATCCCGAAAATTGCGCGAGGAAATTCGGTGTATAAACCACTCCGGGCCACAGTCATCGATTGAATTCATGATTCACGAGTACGGTGACCAAAGGGAGCAGCTTGTCTTACCGGATGTCACGTTCACGGAAATTCGAAGGTTGCCGTGAAATTTTCGAAGGACGAGCCCCGGCATCGGTCGGACATCGTAGCAGAGAAATTCGCAAACTTCGGCCATTTGCGGAATCCTTTTCCACGCGAATATGAAGGACCTCGATCCCGAAGACATCTGCGACGTCCAAAGATTTATCGATGGAACGCTCGATCGAATAAACCATGCATGGAATAAAATTCAATCGGCTGATTTTTATTTCTAACTTGTTTAACAATTACGTTTCAATTACCGCTCCATTTGCTTCATAAATTACCAATAATAGATAATTATTAATCAACAATTAGCGAAAACAAATTATTATTACATACATTTCTACTGAAAATTGATACAAATAGTGGTACGTATTGTATTTTAACAGAGGATAATATATTGAAATCAATTCTGTTTTGACATAAAACAAACATGAAAATAATTGTTGAAATATTGACTGTATTATACTTTCGAATATCCAGTGTATTGTTAAAATTTGTACCATCTTTTCTAAATTCTACACAGTGTAATAAATTACTTAAAGTTGATTGATTTTTATGAAAGCATGAACACTTGGGTGGAGTTTTTATTCCTGGCAGAGATTCACTTCACTTTCGCGTCAACCTGGTAAATCGATGACTCGGTTTATAACGCGGAATAACTGATATCATGAAAGTTCCTCCGCGGAAAAATAAACGTCCGATTTTCGAGGAAAAAGGGCTATCGTTATCGTGCCTTGCCATATTATTAATCACGAAACAGTACGTTTGAATTATGACAACGAAATGCTCGAGGCACTGTTCGGACATGTAACGATTTTTGCTCGTTGCAATCGACAACCCGGTTATTTAGTGTGTTCCCTATCTATTGATCACTAGCAACGAAACGACCGCAGTGACAAAGTTCGAGTTCGACGTCATGAAACACTGGTAATGTCACTAAAATCACTGTGTTTTATTACGTTTAACACGATCGTTCACGAAAATGATACATTTCAGTTTGGTAGCATTCAAAATATTTATATAAAATATTTTGAAAATGATTTCAATATTTTTGCCAAAGTTTATGCCTCAAAATGTTCAAATTTAGAAATTTATTACTTTTCAAGATGGCCTAAATTCTCAAATTTACAACTTCTCAAGTGATTCACTCTTCAATTTTTAGTTTTTATTTTCAACTGCAGTCGATACGAAAATAAATTCTAGAAATAAGTTTCAAGTTATTCAAACATTCATATTTATCATATGTTGCATTCTTGATACCAGTTTCAGCTTCTCCGAGCAGAAATGTCACGATTTACACAACACAGGGAATTCTCTGGCATCGATAGTTTTGCGCCAAATAGAATGATAAAATCGAATCGGGCCATATCCGTTGAATGGTAACGCGAAAAAAGGGGGACCGTTTGCACAGAATTAACATACGAATTCCGGCGAAACTAATAAAAATTCCATCATCGTCGGAAACCAGGCTGGAATCTGCATAATTCGATCACGCCAAGGCTTAACAGAATTCCATGGGTACCCGATAAAACAACATTCGAAACTGAATATCCTTTCGTGAAATGACCCAGGGACCAGTTAAACTCTCTCTGCATACACGTATCACAACTCACGAGTTTCAGAACATTACACGTAACAAGTGAAGTGGAATCTATTAGATATTTGAATAAAAGAAATGTTATATTATCTCCTATCCGAGGACGGACCATGGAGAGAGACAAAATTTTAATATAATTTCAAATATTTTGACAATTTCTACTATCATATAAAAATATTAGGTGTTGAAATACTAGTTAATAACTCCACGATTTTTCTCTGGATAAAATTTCGTTGGTTCCGTAAGACTTTCCAGCAGTACTATATCTACGTACTGTAAATGGTAGCAGCTTTAGGAGGCAATATTACAAAGATCACAAGCGAGATAGCCTTCGCGTCAGACGTCCGATAAGTCGTTTTACGACGACTGTAAAAAGCTGGCGATATATCTCCTTTCAGCGTGTCACGGGACGGAAGTCACCCCTTTTTCCTCGACAAAAGCCTCGCTGCAACCTGAATTCGGACCAAAGGGATCCTTTCCACTTTTGTCCGAAATGATCTGTTAACTTTCGTTCCTGTTTGGATTTAATATCCGTCAGACAATTATCTGTGGCTTGTTTTCTACAGCCATGTTCATTAAATAACCCGCGATTTATCGTTCTCGATTTCTTTTTTTCATTTTTCGGACAATTTAGATAGCTTTATGTTTCATGCTGAATCGATCAAATATAAAGTTGTAAAAAGTTGTAAATGAAGAGTACGAAATTTCTTAAGCTATTCTCTTTTTAAATGTTAAAGAAGTTGTTATTAATAATTAGAAGCAGTTGATAAGTGAGTTGATTCTGTGAAAGCCGAATGCATAAAATCGATCAATCTTTATGGATGACATTTATGAACGGTCTTTAGCAAAAAAATTCGAGCTATTCCCTAGATCCACTCTCTTCGGTTAATTAGCAGAAATCCTTCCGTCCATCCGTAGATCGTAAGAATCTCCGAATTTCCTTGAGACCACTTAGGAAACGAGTAGCAATATTCGCGGAAGCTGAAAGCTCGGCCACTCGGGAAAATAGAATATTAGTCTTTGAAGAAGAAACTGGTCGAGCCGTGTTAGGCGAACGCAATCTGCAAATATTGCGCCTCTTCCTTCAGTTTCTGTTAAAATTCTCGGATTAATAAACGAAACGAGATCCAGGAAAGCGGAGAGGATGGTGAACTGCATCTTCTGACATTTTCTCTCCGCTTCCTCGCGATAGCACTGTGTTTTCGATTCGAATTGGCTGCAACGAACGAATTCAGAAGGCTGTGAAAAAGTCAACAGCCTTGGTTCAGAGATTGCCAGGATTATTGTCGTAGAAACAAGGAAGAATGGAATTTAATTTTCTTATGAAATTGTTAAATCTCGTCTTGATTGCTTGAAATTGTTTTTTACGAAATCTATCTGCTGTTGAATTGATCAAAAGTCAATTAAACACGTACTAGAATTTCATAAAAGATTAATAGAAAAATGAGAAAGAAAAAAATAATAGAAGATTCAAAAGTGGAATGGAACATGGTATTAAATTAAGGCCTCTCATTTAGATTATGAATCCGTAGATTTTATATTAAATCAGTGCTTCTAACGAAACTACCATTAAATCGAATATCTTTCATTTAAATCGTGCATCTGGAACTTATCACTTAAAATTTATATTTCATAATTGCTTTGATATTTCTAACGAACTGGATTTAAAATTTAATGAAATCGATGAAATATTTGATGCTATAATACTAATTATGTAGGTCACTTATTCTTCTTTAATCATTTTTAAATAAGTTCGTAAACTAAATTTCTAGAGAAATAAAAATAAAATTGAAATTTCAGACTTTGTTTTTAAATGATTCAAATTCTACCTTATCTATTTCGACATAAATCTGCTAGTATTACTTAAGAGTTTCGTTCATCAAAAGCGATTCACCGATTCACAGGAAGTTACTCTCGGCTTCACTATCGAACGTGAGCACTAAAAGCTTAACCTAATCTGTCGGTGACGATTTCGGGTCATGGTTAGCCAGGAACCCATATGGTTATCTGCTTCAAACGGCGACAATCAATAACGAAGAATACATTGACAGCTGTCACTGGGAATCCGCTATTTCTCTTGATAACGTTAACAATGGCCAATAGAAATCACAATGCAACGCGGTGATGATTCCTTGTCGATGCGACCTCATAATAGTCAGCATCGTAAAAGACTATTGTGAACCGACGAACAATGGATTCTCAGGTGTTAATGTTATCGATGACATTGGTCATTCGCTTCTGAAAGGAATTGTTACATTGTGATTTACCGACGCGTGAGATCAATGCATGCATGAAGCATTAATTATTATCCAAATCATTGTTCTTCCAAACAAAGTTATCAGACTATTCCATATGGTGTTGATGAAACTTTGCAGATTTGTAGAACAATTAAAATATTCTGTAATCTATCTTTTGTATTTTTTTTATATACAGATACTCAAATTTAAGGGAGAAAATTGTTCTCTGAAAAATTAACAACCCCAGGCTATCTCGAAAGCCATTAAAACATACAGTGGAGTGTGTAACGAACAAATGTTATCAGAACGCTACAATGAAGCACAGTGTTTTACGAGTTTTTACTCAAAAACGAAGGTATAATTAGCAGACAATAATAATCATCACCAGGTGCTAAAAGAGTTGAACATAGGAATCAGAGTTAATTAATTCGTTAATTAATCAGATCTGAATAATGAAACTCTGTGCGTCACGTTATATTTACATTTTACAGAACGAAAAGAGAAAATCATTTTATTCACCGTACGTTTATTTTCATTGTTCTACTTGTAATTGGTTTTTCAGTACCCTCCAGCTAATTAATTCTACACCAGAGTAATTGAACATTTCTCAATCACTTTTCGCTGTTTTTAGGAACTTTTGTTCGGGATCAAAAGCTGTTGGGAGGAAATGTGTTCGGCAATCAGAACGTCACTAACGCGCCAACGTTCGAGATGAACGTCCCTCGAAACGTGACCACAGCAGTGGGTCAGACTGCTTTTCTTCATTGCAGAGTACATCAGCTGGGTGATAAAGAGGTAAGTGGATTTATCTATTAGACGTGAAATTCGTCTAAGAGGGGGAAGTAATAAAAAAAGATGCCTCTGTTACTTAGCGGAGCAAGATGTATGTATATTCCTTCGAGGGTAATAATTTTCAATTATCCTTTATAATCATAATATTGTTAAGCGTAAGATATAGCGACACGGATTAATTTAATAATTAACTATCTTTTTATTATTGTTATTTTAAACAAAGATTTCCTTACACTATAAAAATCCAGGCTATTAAGTTTAGTTTTTAAGATCAATATTTTCCTATCTTTCGTGTTGAAATTTTCCAATTCAGCGAACGCGAATTTTCGAAAAATTCGAATTATATTCGCGAAGAGATCAATAACAACGATGAAATTTTATTTCGCACATCTTGCTCGCGTTATGCATTGGAAATAATATTTCGTCACGATAATAGATGTTTGACTGAGAGTTAAAATCGCCCATAAATCGCACGTCCAAATGATTGCCGAGCGGAATTAAACAGAAATCAGGATTTCCCGAACATCTAACACGTAAAGTCTACAATAAATGTCACAGTTTTGTAAACATCAGATTGCTCGACCGTGTACCGAGCCTGACAAATGTTCAGCATAACGGCGACTGCATATATTTATATATTAATCGACTTACTGTTGATACAAATTAATGATACACGCGCAAATACCTCAGCCGTTCGACCGAAATGCAGGTTGCATTAATATCGGGGATTTCGATTCTGTAATCGGATTGTCGCGAATTTTCCTGACGCTCATTAATACGGGTCAGGTTAACCAAAATATCAGCATATCAGAATGGAAAGGAACAGCATTTAGGAATAGTTTCTCAATGAAATTTTATAGAAAGCGAAGCTCTCGTGTACATTGGAAATAAGTATAAAAACGCTGCAAAGATAAAATGTTGCCAAGAAAATGCGCTGGAATTACATGAACGAACTATCAACGTTTAATTCCGTACAAAATTACTCTTTCCTCGCGAATAACACAGTATTCCATTAAACGAAAAGTCAAATACAAACACAGCCCCGGAAACGTCCATTTAACTTTCAACCGTTTTAATAAAAGAAGAATGTGAAAATTAGAGAGGCATCAAGGTTTTCCTTAGCTGTGAAGCGTTGTAAAAATTAAGGAAATACGATTACAGAATGCAAGCTGGGGTTTAAAGGGAGATATAATGTCGTTAGTTGCAGAGGAAAGTCGCTCGACAGATATTTCCTAATTTCATTTCACCTAGCTCGAGAAATGCTACCCGTCTCTGGTTACTGTTGAGAAATTCAACTTAATCGGGTTGCGTAGAATGGAATGGCTGTTGTAAAAATAACAAGCGGTCATTTGCGGTCGCGCGAGGAAATCAGGGATCCCTCCTTTTTACGCTTTCGCGGCGAAAAAATTTCAAGTTTTCGAGCTTTCGAACCGCGGTAACAAGCAGAGTATCATTTCATCCCTTCTAATTAGGTCACAGTTTGTCGATGAATGACCCTTTCCTTTTAAACCCATTCACGTTCACCGAATGAGGCAATTAGAAGACCCTTGGAACGGACGAAAAAGACCGCTGGAATAACACCGATCGATTTTATCTTTAAATTTAGGAAACCCTCCAGCGATCCAGCTTTTCATCAAATAAACCAAACTACTTCCACGGATATTCAAACTATTTTGCATATTAAAAACAAATTATAAAAATGTTTTGCGAAAAAATTAAAGGTTCAAAAATTTTTTCGTTCCAATAACCTCTATAAGCATCTGTATAAACGTGGAAATAAAAAATTTTAAATATTTCAGAATTTTTATCAAAATTGATTATATAATATATTAATTAATATACTTCAGTTTTGCAATTTCATTTGATTTCATTATTAACTGATACACTCGCCTTATTGGTTTCCAACTGAAGCTGTTTTATTGCAGCAAGTGTTTCCTAGATTGAACCTTCGGCAACGATCAAAGCGGTTTACGCGAGTTTAATTCAGCTTCGGTAATGAGTTAAACAACAGCGAGTTTCCAAACGAATTTTTATCGCGTATTCAAAGCAAAATAAACCATTCGCTTTGAGACGAGTTCTTCGAGCACCGATCTTATTACTATTAACCCCTTTTTCTGCCTAGGGTATCTTCTGGCTATCAAAGAGAACGTGAAAAATCGTTTTTCTATTAAACTCGCTCCCGTTTCGTTTCCTTGCTTAATGAAAACACCCACCCACCCCTCGGTCCTTTCTATTTATTATTCGGAATAATTATCAGGGTAATTTCTGACGGAGATTGTAAAACTACTTTTGTAATAAATTTTCGAATTTCCATGTTATTTTCAATTCTGACGTTAATGAACACTTGCTACTAATTAAAGAAATAATTAGATAATATTTTAATCACATTTGCAAATTTTCTTATTAAAAAAAAAAAGAGTTATAATTTCAAGTTCTTCACCTTCCTTAATCGTACGATACCATTTATCTCACGTAAGCCTGTACACGTGTATACATTCTTATAAGATTAAACTACCCTCCCGGAACTATAGTTATGGACACTGAACTAGAGGAAACTGGAAACTTATTTGTACAGGGTAGTACACTTGAAATCCTCCTCCTAAACCTGCGCTATTGATCATAACTTTGAAATTACCATGTTAAACATCGCTTTATTCCATATTTTCCAATATTCCAAGCAGTACCGTTTATGAGTCTACGAAGAAAGTAGCAAAGAAATTTTAACCTAACTGAAGAAAATATTCTAAGTACAAAAAAGAATTTTTATGTATGTACAGTACCGAGTATTTTATCCCAGGAAAAATAGTGCTGCCTCGGATTTCCGGTTCTCCCCATATACAGCGTGTTGATGGGGTGGCAGCTGAAGTGATTGCAAATAACTTCCTCCTTCACCAAAGTGCTCGTTAAGGCTTAGTTTTTCAATTATTAATAACAAAACATCAACCGATCAGAGGGCGCATGTTCAGCGGCGAGTGTTGGCTACGAGAACCTTGCTCGACCGTGGTCGCGAACAAACTAATCAGCAGTGCGTCGGATCGTAGCCGACACTCCTAAGCCTGCGCACTATTCGCGCTCTGATTGGTTAGTGTTTTTCACTAATAATTCAAAAACTAAGCCTTACCGAGCATTTTGATAAAAGAAAAAGTTGTTCAGAATCATCCCAGCTACCACCCCCTCAAAAGATGTCCACCGTTTCTAAATAATAAAGGGTTTAGTACAGAGTTGTGTACTAAATTTTATATCATTTAATAACTAAAAATTGTATTATTTTATTCTAAGATACTTTTAATATTAATATCGTCAAAATGGAAAATTTGAGAGTTCCTCATTCCCCTATATCGTCATTTCTCCTAGGTAAGTTTACTTTCCTCAATTCTATACAGTACGAGTAAGTGTATCCCGAGTAAATCTCGTGATAACGCGAAATAAATAAAGTCAATTAGGTTGTACTGGAAGGTATATCGTTGCACGCATTGTCGGTAACGAGGTTAATCACGCACGACGGCCTGTCTGACGCTGTTTGGAATGTACCGGAATTTCGACATAGTGTGTTTACTCCGGCATATTATGTCGGTGGTTTAGTCCCAGCCAGAATCGAAACATTAACTATGTTTGCACGCGCCACGCCACCGACTTCTCTCTGGCTTACGCGGCTTATATACGATGCCCATCCGTAAAATAGGACAAAGCATTTGCATTGCTAATCTCCTGCATGACGTTGCGTTCGTTGACCCGAAACGAAATTCCACCATGAAAACTCGTTTATTCGTTTCATTCGGGCCCCAGTAAACTTGCTCTTTGCTGCTCGATCCTTTGGCCGAGTTCAATACCGACCTTTATCACCCTACCAGCAGTCCTGTTTCGAAATTCACCAAGTACCAGTAATCCTTGAACAACAGGATACTTATAGGAGGTGCCGGAAGTGGGTACTGTATTAAGTGATGTAGTAAATAGTGAAAACAGACAGTCTGATATGATTTTAAATGCAGAATATAAATGGAATATAATGATAATCACTGTCTACGGATTAGAGAAACACGAAAATTCTCTAATCCGATTAAGAATAGATAAAAATAAACAAATATTTTCAAATAAATTTATTTTCATTCAATATAATTATCTCAATATTTAATTAATTAATTAATAATTAATCGTTCAATGATTGGAATAATAATAATAAAATTCTAATGAATAAACGAAATTCTACCGTAGAAACGAAAGATGTTATTTCTCAATTTAATATCGCAAACAAGCGCCAATGTTAAGTTGCTAAATTTATTAAGCGATGCGTAAAATAAACCTTCCAATATCGTACTCCACCATACGTCTCTTCAAACAGGGTTATTCAGATTTTATGAAAACACCCGACTATCCGCTGCCGAATATTAAATATAGATGAATGAGAAAATACAAATTGTTTGTTCAGAAACAAAGGGATATTTGTAAATATGCTGGGAAACAGGGATGCTCCTTTTCAGAACAATGTATCATACTTTTGTTTTATTTTGTATTTTGTTAACAGAATTTGTTTCCATTAATCGTGGCGGAATGTTAAATAACTTTCGGATAATAGTTTAATGAAGCTGCTTTTTCCATAAATAGATAATAACAATTTTCCGAGTTTGCACTGCTTTGAAAGCACAGAGGCTGTACAAAAACAGAAGTTCACCGAGCGAGACACAAACAGAGATGAACACACGCACGCACAATTTGTTTTTGAAACAAATGATAGCTGTAAATAGTTTCCCATCTCCTCTGATGATCACGGTCGACGCAACTCGGTCATGTTCCTGGTCAATTTTCGGTAACAAATTATTCGAGCTCGCGGCAGCTTGTTAACGCGAGCATAACGTCAATAACACGGCGCACATTTATCGGTGTCGTTAAATTAAAATGTGCTTATTTAAATCGGTCGTTCGCCGGGCCACCGCAGACAAATCACGTTGAATTTCGAATCGGTTGAAACTGGAAGCGAAACGCGACACGCTGAACGTTTAATGCAC